TTTGCCTCCTGCACCTGAAGACAAGAAGGCTGCCAGTGAGACCGAGCAGCCAAAAGGTGATCGTAAGAAACGATCTGCCTCTGAAAAGAAAAGGGTTCATCGTAAGGCTTGTGAACGTTGGCACGCAAAGTGGCTCAAGAAAGGTGTTCCTCGCAAGCCGGAAGATGCAGAAGGTGCAGCCCCTTCTTCTTCACGTTCCAAAAAGAGGACACCTGCCAAGACACCTGCCAAAGCACGTGCCAAAGCAGCTGCCAAGTGTTCCAAGCCCAAGGATGGAACCAAGAAGCGTAAGTCAAGCACCACCAAGTCAGATTCGCCAAAGTCCAACAAGGGGGGAAGGAAGCAAGCTGAGCTTGCCAAGTTCGATAAGAGGGACATGAGGTCTGTCAAGGCTGATTTTGTCCGCTCCTTCGTTCAGAAGTATGAGGGTGAGGCTGTGGGAAGTGAAAGGAATCGTATGGCCAACCAAGCTTGGATGGCATCAGATCTCCGTGCACAGTTGATGGCTGGAAAGAGTGGCCAACAGCTGGCTTAGTTCTTGAAACCAAAGCCACAGAGCTTTGTTGAGATTTCAACTAGTTACAATAGCCTAGCAATCCAGGGGGATGGATGCTTGTCGGTGGAATATGATAAAACATGTGGCGGATCATGAAGTCTCTAGCAGCTACGATCTGTGGCACACCAATCCCCTCCGTATCCTCCAGTCCTTCTCCAGGCAGCCGCCTTCACACAGCAGCTTTCCGCGGCGCCGCCAGCAGCTCCCCCCACCCACTGTCCCACCCCTCTTACCACACAATCATCAGACCCAAATACTTTAAAATTAGATTCAAATACCATGAATATAACTTAAATCTGTTCCTTTGTTCTTGCACCCCGACTTAGTCCATGGGGAATCGATATTCAAAAAAGGATTAAGTCCGATTTTGTGGAGCATTTTGTCAATGCAACCGGACTTCGCCAATTGGGGAGAAAGGCTGTTTGCCATATATCTTGTCAATTTGTTAAACCAATATAGCTGGGCCGAGGATTTGGCCAAAAAGTAAGTAGAACAAGGGTAAGAATGAGGGTGAGGGTTCGACTCACTGCAATAGCGGCGCAGCGAAGCCAAAGGCCAAGAGTGCCAAGGCTTCCAAGAAAAAGGCCAAAAAGGCCAAGTGATCCAAAGACACATGTCAAACGGGTTCCTTCCATGTGAACAGTGTATATCCTGAGCCCTTGGATCCGGTTGGTGGGTCTCCAACTTTCAAGGTGATATCATCGATTTCCCTTTGGTGAATAACTCGGAGCTCCTGTACAAGCCTTTCTTAATTCCTCAAATGTGGCATGTGTCTTGCGTTTTCTTCGGGGTTGGGGATGTTGATCACCTTGATCAACTTTGATCAACATGAACACGGCAGTCGGTCCTCTCGAGTGTACACAGACCTGTTCTAATCTGCTTTGGGGTCATGGACATTCGGCCTGCTGTGACGTTACGAAGAACATCCACACGAAAAGATCGCGCCCAAAAGCTCCGCTGTTTGACTTTCTCGTGCCTTCACAGTCTTTCTAAAGTCGATCTTCCAAGAGCGCTGCGCCTGAGTTGGTTATAAAACATGATTTTGATGTTAGTTGAGAGTGGTTGTGAGTGGTAATTGAGGGTGCTTACCCCGTCTGAGATTTGGCCAAACGGTTTCGATCGTAGTACCCAACCTATCGGTGCAATGGATCCTCGGAAGCTTGCGGCAATACTCTTCATATCCCAGATTCCAATGCGCCCTGGACGCTGTTCTTTGGCTTAATGACTTAATGGTCCTAATAGGTTGATCCATGTTGACTGTTGCAGTATGATCAGTTGGGCTGAAAACGAGAAAGATTCACTCTCTCAACATGGGCAATGGATGGGAAGGCTAAGGTTGAGGTTTGTGCCGGAGACGCGAAGCTGTCTACTGCGCTTCATCGCTCTGGGCTTCGCGTGAAAGCCTTCGATGTCCCTTGTGCTGTTTTTGGCTTGTGAGTTTGTATCCTGTCGGGTTTCCAGTCGGCTTTTTTCAGCACATCCTAGGTACGGTACAGTAAGAACCATGATCGAAACCTTCGGACGGTTGGATTCATCAAGATCCTGGCCACACTTGGCGCTCAAAGGATTGGTCTGGTTCGTCCAGTTTTACTCAGGTTAACCTTAAGCCCAATGGGCTCCTTTTCTGGGCTCCTCCTTGCAGTTCTTGGGTGTTCCTGCCCCTTGTCTTCAAAAGGTGTGTTTGCCCTTGAAACATTGGTTGACCTGTTCTGGGTAATGCTGAGATCATCTGGAACGACCAAAAGACTACAATCCTGGAGGGGCACCTCTCGATCTGTCCAGATGGCGAACCTATTTGTGCAGCGGATGCTGGGTTTGGGTTCAACTCTGAGCAGCGTGATTACGAATACCCGTTTCCCCCGCCGAGGATGGTGGCCAAGCTGGAGTCTGTCACTGCCGCGCTGACCCAACATGACGAAAAGCTGATGGATCAACACGGGGAAGGAATCCTGGAAGGGTTCACCCGTGAGTTCCTCGACGGAAGGGAGTTTCAACAAAGTCAGTAATGACGGTTTTGATCGGACTAGTGTGACAAAGCCTGCTCAGGTGTGACGTAGATCTTGTTTTCCTATGGTAAAGGGTTCTAACTGCTGGCTATTCCTTGAAAAGTTTCATCTTCGGTCGATCAACTCCCATAACGTCATCATGCGTCCGGAGTTTGCCCCAGACCCTCTGTTGGTGACCATGGCCTTGGCTGATTTATAATAACCTGGATGCATGCAAAACAGTGATTCTGCAATCTTTTATCAGCTGGGTTCAGAAAAACGGCAGGTTAATTCATCGCAAACCTGCAAACCCGGAAAATATGAATGACTTCATCTCAATCATGCTACTGCATTTCATTTAACAATTTGACCATTTGGACGCAGGGAAACAAGTCTGCCGCATCAATAAACACATTATGATTTCAGGGTCTCGTGGAAAGAAATCGAGCTATAGTATAGGCAATCATGACGGTCAGTGTTAAGTTGGTTTGGTGACAGGTTCTGCACTACATCAACTGCCATGCATCCCCCCATTTCAGGCTGCAAGCCAACATCAAAACGGAGCTTGACAGCGCCAGGAAGAAGCCCGGGCCTTGTAATAGTAACCCCTTCTGGATCATAACCTATTCTGGTTTTCTGGAATTGAGGATGGGGGAATCTTTGGCCGTTCAGCACTTCGCGAAGTCGGAAGCCAAGTCTCCAATCTCAAATGCCATACATCCACCCTGGTGCTTACACCCTATATCCTTTCGAGGTCGAGAATGCCAACTCCAACAGGTGAGAGGACTGTTGTGCCAAAGAGGTCGCCCAAGGCTAAGGCATCACCCAAGACGGTGGCCAAGCCTGCAGCATCCAAAGGGAATGCTAAGAGAAAGGCTGCACCAAAGCGGCCTGCTCGGAAGGGAGATGAGTGATGGTTGTGTCTTTAATTCGCAGGATCTTGTTTTTCACCATGGCATGCATCGTAAAGTCCTCAAACAATTGTTGTGTGTTTTTAATGGTAGCTTCGGGTTTTGAACGAATAACATGAAACTCTGATGAATTGGCGCAACAACCATCTTGACCAGTGGGGTGGGGCATCCTCGCTGACTAATTTAACAAAATCAGATTGGTCCAAACGAAGGGTTGGTTTGCCAACCCCTCCTCATGTCCGCAGAAGGAGGCTGAACGCAATCCAGGTTGATCTCGGATGGCGGCAGTGAAAAACAAAAATGCCACTATTGCCGCTGCTTTATGTGTGAATGTTTTCTGCAAGTAGAAGCTCGATGTCAGGTAGTTTCAATCGTGCCAGGTCTCCTGCCCCATGATGGACCATTTATGGACAATCTCGTTGACTCTTTGGGTGATGGGGTCCGGCCCTCAACCTGGGTTAGTTCTCTCCACAGCCCAAGCTCTCCTAGCTGCCGCCTTCCCAGGCCACAGCGCAAAGCGTCGACAACACGCTGCGGTCCTTGAGAGGGAGGGATGCTGGCTCTACGAATGCATCTCGCAACATCCATTCTCAGTTGGAAAAGTTGGGGTACTCCCTTCCAATTCCTATTCAATCCCTCAGTCACGCCACCGAACGTCCAGATCACAAAGAGCTCACCACCTACCACATCAAACCGGAGGATTGGGTGAAGTACTGGATGGATGAACACCCTGAACTCTTGGGAGGTTTCAGTGGAGATCACAGTGCTAATTTTGAAGCATTCTGGCGTGCATACCAAGTACAACATCCTGGTCATGAAGTTTTTTCTCAACACCCAGGGCGGCTACGCCAAGTGGTCCCACTACTGATTCATGGAGACGAGGGCAGGGCTGTCAAACGGACAGGCTACTTGGTGGTTTCTGTAGAGTCACCCCTGGGATCTTTGGATGACCCGGGTGTGAGGTGCACTTGCGATGAAGATCTAGCAAAAAGGGCTGGTTTGCCATCGTATGGATCTGATTTGGGAGCCATTGACCAATGCTTTCTTGAGATATGCCGCTCGCAAGTTACAAATTTCAAGGGCCACTCCTATTTGTCGCATTTTTTATGCTTTGGCGTTGGCGGGTGGGTGTATAAACGTCACCCAAGTGTAGTTGATGCGCTGCTCACTGAAGTTGTGGCAAGTTTGCGGCGACTTTTCTTTGAGGGTGTCAAGACCAAGAATGGTACCATTTTTGCTGCCATAGCAGGCGTGAAGGGAGATCTTGAGTTTCACCGAAAGTATTTGCGATTGGAACGTAGTTACGCCAATGTTGGCACCAAGTCTCAAATCGCCATGTGTCATCTTTGCTTGGCCGGAAGGGCTGGTGTGCCTGCCGAAGACTACAGTGAATCACCTCAATGGCTTCAAACTCTTTATTTGGAAAGGCCATGGAGTATGGAGAAAGAACCTGCCTTGTCAGAGTTGCCCTACGATTCAACTTGTCCGGAGGACATTCTCAAGTTGGATATCTTCCACGTGCTCCGGTTGGGGGTGGCACGTGACATTGTTGGCGGCGTTTTGGTGATCTTGTTGCGCCTCAAGTTCTTTGACCATGAGGGAAGTTCGGTCAATCTGGACGATCGGTTTACGCGCGCGCATGGTCACTTTTCTTTATGGTGCATGGCGAACTCCAAATGCCCTGGCCTGCGCAGTTTCAGCAAGCACTTTTTTAACATGGTCACGTTGATGTCGGCTCCATGGGCCTCCTCAAAGGGTTCCGACAGCATGCTCCTCTTGGAGTGGCTTCGCTTTGTGTTGAAAATCCAACTGATGAGCCCGACTGTTCCAGGTCATGAACTTTTGCTGGGTCACATGCTTCAAGTTGTTGAGGCCGCACTTGCGATACGATTGATCCATCATCATCGTTTGTGGCTAGAAAGGTCCTGTGCCAAGAACCTCTATGTGAACATTATGACCCTACTTAGGGGGTACGCATTGCTGGCAAGATCCTCGATTCAACTGCGCATACGCGCCTTTATACAGAAGCCCAAACATCACTCTCTCCATCATTTGGCAGTGTTTTTGAAAACTGAGTTGGAGAAAGGTGCCACCATCATCCTATCTCCACAGGCCATCTCCTGCGACTTAAACGAGGACTACCTCGGGCGCATCGCCCGGCTAAGCCGGCGCGTGGGCTTCAAGTTGTGTGACTTGCGTGTCATACACCGATACATGTTGAAGGTATCGTTGTTGCTTCGCAAGCGTGTAGACCCCCAAAAGGGGGAAGTTCGCAAAGTGTGGAGCAAGAGATGGGGGAAGAAATGACTGTCTATGAATGTCTTTGAACAAGTCACCGGTTCCATCCCCTTTAGTTAAACTAAGCGATCCTGATAGACAAGGCACTCTTCTCACCAAGCCCCTTCCCCATTTCTCAGTGTCGGTCCTCCTCTCTGGCTGCACGTGGATCGGGAGCGACACGCAGGCGCAAACGTGCTTCGGAGGGAGCTGCTTTTTGGTTTTCTATGAAACCTTGGTGCGTGACAGCATGCTATAAGGAAGTATTAAACTAGTGAGAACTTTGATCAACTATTGTTGGTTTTGAGGACTTTAAATTTCTTGGAAGCACCCTTCAGACCTTGTTCATTGATTCTGTTGTGATTCTCTATGTTCCTGTGGTATGCCATGAAACATCAAACCTTTGAGGTATCACTCAAAACACCCTCGGGCGGAATCTGTGAGCTCGGGCTGAAAATTCTGCCTGGGCTGAAATTTCAGTCCAGGCTGAAAAAAACGCACCAGGAAGATCTAGGTATACATATATATACTTCCGTAAAGCTTCAGCGGTGGTGATTATATACTTACTACGCGGTGGCTTCCACAAGCTTCCACGACTGCAGCTCTGGCTTCTGGCTTCCGCGGGCAAGTTGGAGTTTACAAGTTTGCTTAAACTGTTTGTGAGAGGTTTTTGGCGCTGCTGAAATGATGGAAAATGTCTATGAATGATTATGCATGCGATTATGTATGATTTTGCATGCGACCATTTGCAACGTGTATGCCAGCCTTTGAGCATAAAAATTTGGATCAAGCAGACTTCTTGAAAACCTTTGAAAACGTACAGGAAACATGTATCGAACAAAAACTAGTGGGTCCATCGGCGCACTTGCGCCAAAGCTTGCTGTTCTCGTTTCGCCAGGCCTTTGCGTGGCATGCATGCAATGGCTGCACACGTCTATCCGCGTTTGCCCTCTGAGTATCCGAACGGCTACCACAGTAAAGTCCTTGGGCCTCAGGATGACTGGTCAGGCGCCAAACATGTCGCAGGTCTGGTCGGAAAGAGGGCCGTTGTGCCTGTTCAACCAGGAGTGAATTCTAATTGGTCCTGGAACCTCCTCCCGGTTTACATGTCATGACCAGCTTGCCCTCTAGCATTCAAAATCATGTACCATCATTGCGGAAAACATATTTGTTTGCCGTACGTCGCTCTGGTCTCACAGCAAGTGCCTTTAGCTTGGACACGTATGTGTATACACCTAGAACCTGATTGGCCCCTGTTTGTGAGCTAAAACTATAACATGGTCTTTTCCCATCACAACAATGGTCCAATGGGGTCTAGGTGTGTATATATATATATAAACATATTAATAAATATAGTTATAAGGCCTTGCTGGCACCCCTTTTTCAGTTCGCTCTGCAGCAAGCTAGTCAATAAAGATGAAAACTTAAACAAGAAAACAATACATCAACCACCGGAAAAGACTACCCCCCCTTCTTTGGTCAACAACACAAAGAAGGGGACGTTCCCGGGTAGTCGTTCCCCCCCAACCAGGTGGGCCAGACCCCAAACCCTGGCCAGGTCCTGAGGAACCCCTTCAGACCTCATTTCTTTTTATGCTCTTCTAGAGCTAGCAGGTCTTGTAAAAGCTTTCCTTCCACGTCCCCCAAGACGACGAGTTTCGGTCGTCGGCCTGCTGCTATGCAGCGGCTCAAGTGTTGCAAAAGAACGGGGAGTGGAGTTGGTCAAAAAGGTGCGATACGGAGCTAAGTGTCGTTCAAGAGGTCCCAATTGCATTTCAGCTAACACGGCTCTAGACTCATTGAGGTACAGTAGTACAGGCGTGCTGTTTTCTGAGCCTGCCACCTACCTAGTAGCATGACACGATCAAGGTTACCATGTTGAGCAAACCACCACGTGGCCCCTCCTCTCCGGACAGAGGAAGGGCGGAGGTCCAGGCTTTCCAAATGAAGCGCTTCCACGCAAGTCTTGAAAAGTTTCCTCCACCGCGCTGGGAGGGGCAAAGTTTGCGGTGGCTGCTTGCCAGCGTGTACCAATGCTGGAGATAACGAAAGGCAGTGTCATGTCCTACAGTCACACTTTCCTGGACGCCGGCTCGTTTGCCGGCTTGGTGAGTCCCAAACTAACTACACACACTCTCAGCTTGGTGGAAATTTCCACGCGGTTCCGAGTGACATCAAGTAATTCTCCGGTTCTTCAAATTCCATAGAAACAAAGTAGCAGGCTGGTGGCGAACGAGTAAAGCTCATGGTACAAACTCCATCCAACCATGGCATGAAGCACTGACTCCGGTATTGGTGGCGCCCGATTGGGGAGTTCATGGGTCACCCAAGTCTTGACCAGCCGCCATGCTCCAGGGAGTTGCCCCCGAATTTTTGTATCAAAGTCTTGCAGTGATGCCAGGGTATCGGCGGCCAAGCCTCGCCCTTCCCCGGTGATCCATAAATGTTCAATGTACTCACTAGTAGATCCAACCGTTCGCGCCGGGCAGGTAGATCAAGATTCTCTTCTTTGAGGAAAGTCAAAAAACGATCCAAAGCCTTCTGGTACCGAGCTCTATAGTTCAGGGTTGAAGTATCCCCGCCTTCTCAGGGTCTCTGGCGATCTCGTCGTCCTTGCTGACTTCGTCGCACTCCTCCTCTTCTTCCTCGCGGGCCTCTTCTTCGGCCTCAGGCTCGGTCCCAACTGATTCTGCCTCTTCCTCTGCTGCTGATCGCCCCGTCGGGCTTTCCTCTCTCTCCTCCTGCTCCGACTCCTTGTACGATCCCTTTCTTCGCGTCGGCGTCGACTGTGTTGACGTGGCTTATAAGCTCTCGCTGGTGCTGCAGCAGGGTGTCGCTCCCCAGGGTGTTCCCCCGATTCGTATGCAGTCTTCACTCGAGTCTTTCCCTCCTTCTCCTGGACGATGATGTAACCTTTCCAATCGACCAGTCCAGCCGTACGGTCCGCTTCGAAGGCTTCGCCGTCGGACTCAAGCGTTGTAACAACCTTGGCCAGATAAGAACAAAGTTCCCCAGCCTTCGAACTTGGATACCTGGTGAAGACGACTCGCTCGGCGCGGACCACCAGATAGCAACAATCGCAGAATCCGGACGAACCAACCGGGAGTTCGAGTCGGGAGTGGCACCCTCTGCAGGTCATATAGAGCCAAACACTACGGAACGGAAAAGAGGGTGTGAGCAACTCTTTATCCCCGGGGGCGGGGCACCATATAAATATACAGTATAGGTATAACTCCACCATGTTCCAAGGGTTTCCAGTATATGGGCTCACTCCACCGCGTCGGTTTCCCCATGACTCCAAAATGGAGCGAGTCGGAGTCGGAGTCGGTCTGTCCTTTTCATGTGATACCCGTGAGGTGTTCTTGTCTGTAAATAAGAATAACACACATGCGTGTATATATATAGTATATATACTTAGAACCTCATTAGGCAAAAATGTCCGCCCAACTTCACTATTAGGCAGAAAATTAGGCCCGTTTTCACAAAGAACGCCTAAGCTGCAGCCTCGAGGATCAAAACGCCGAGGCACAATCACTTGCATTCTTAATTACATGCAGGAGGCAAATCCATATATAATCTGAATGAACAAGCTTTTTGAGAAGGCAACCTGACGCTAGTGCCCAGTCTGAAGTAAAGTTTTTGAAACTCATGTCACTTACTCCCCCCAAAAAGGCTACCATTCCTTTGTCCAGCCAACTGCTGATTGTTGTGAGGGGGGAACGGGTAGGAACGCCTAAATAACGGGCAAGAATGCCTAAGTAACGTGCAAGAACGCCTGAGTGCTGGGAAGAATGCCTACCCCAAAACAGACTAAAAAGCAAACAAAGCATATAGAAACACTATACGCATTCAGAAGTGAAACATCAAGTGATAAACAAGTGTCCTGTATTCCTGTATATGTTCCTGGAGCCAGTGGTGGTGGGTAGATCCTTATCTATTTGAGCATTGCAATTGCCTACCAAAAGGATAAGAACGCCTAGTGGAGCCAAGAACGCCTAAGCGCGGACAAAGGCGCCTTTACCCGGCAGAAATGTCTGCCCCAGAAGAGGTTCGATGTATCCCTGACACTCCATGTATGCCATATATGCCTACATTGACCCCCCAAACTACCCCAATGTAGGCATATATGGCATACATGGAGTGTCTGGGTATATTGGAAACGTCAGACAATTCGTGCCGAGATGTGGGGAATTGGTCAAAACTGCCCTGGGCCCTGGTCTGGTTGCGAACGACCGTCACGTCGGTAGGTCAACCAGTCGGTCTCGTGCCATGATCCACGAACATGTGTGCGTCTGTGTGTGGTGAACTAGCACGATTTGTTCACAAAGGCGAACAAATCTTCACAAGAAGCATCTATCCTCAGATCTTCCAACATTTCAAAGGCGAACACTGTTGATGCCCTGCGGAAATACCCTGCGAGAAATTTTGCCGCCCACCGGCCGTGCTGCCCGTCCGGGACCCCAGCACCATCCAGCTGCCAGAGTGCCGTTGACGATCTCTCGCGGTGACATCCTGGGCAGAAAAATCAACTGGATTTCTCTGACGGACCCGCCTGGCGGATCCCGGCGGTGGGTGTTTGGGTGAATTTTTGTTGATGCTTGTCCACCGAGCCCGGTCGGGAGAGAAGGTCTCCGAATTCTTGGGGTTATAGGCTCATGAAGAGTCGCCAAAGCAT